GAATCTTAGGGGTAGGACAGAATTTTGTCCATTAGTACATTAGGACTAGCCGACTATGGTAAACTGCCAGTTGTATTTTATACAAAGTTGCAAAGTTATAATCATTATAACTGATCGCAGCTTGTGGTTGTTTAGTGATAAAGTGAACGACCTGAATTTAGGCTTAGGAGTTGCTGATGTTTTGTGTTGCAGTGTAATGCCAAGTTTTGAGAACTTCATACCTTTAAGTTTAGAGATTGAGAGTTTATTTTTAAATGTAACACCATAGAGTGTTGTAAGTTTTACCTCATGAACATGTGACTGTGCAAGTGAGTGTGAGTGTACCAGGATTAGAATACGTTATTGATATGATTCCGAGTTATCTATCAGAAATTAAGTTTTAAAAATTCATCAGAAAATTTTCCTAATTCGAAATTAGGAATAGACGTGTATTAAACTCAAAGTAAACGTAATTAAATGTACCTTACAAGACATTTTTATAACGTACGAAATGCGACGGTTTTCCCGAAATTTCGCCATATTTTCGGACCGCCAAAATTTCGGTCGTCGTAATAGAATCCGTCGCATTATTTTTAGCTCATTCCAATAATTGTGGCTTCATCGATTCATTTTGTTCTTGAAAAGTTAGTGATATGATGGTGGGACAAATAAACACAATATTCCATGATGAATTTAATGTCAAGTAATACGCGTATCCGAGAATCTTACTCCTGGGAGTACACTGGAGAGCAGCGTGAAACTGAAAGAGTCGAGCCGGACCCCTTAATATATATAAGTATAGAGGAAGATGAAGAAATCGATTTATAAGTTTCATTTTGTTTCAACATGATTTTACCGATTTTTAGAAAATTTTGAATTTCCTTTGTGTCAGAAAACAAAATGATGAAAAATACCCTTATTTTCTGTGACGTCCGAAATGTGACGGTTTTTTGTTCAATTTCGCCATATTTTCGGACCGCCAAAATTTCGGTCGTCGCAAATTGGTCCGCCACAAAAAAGTCTTGTAAGGTAATATTAAGTTTAAGAGCAAGATATAACCAATTTTTTCCTCTAGTATCATTCAGAATATTTTGTTAATCTTTAACTAAGAATATATTTTTGGAAATGTGAAACTTATCGGTAGGTATTAACAGCAAGTTAGAGCAGAGCCGTTAAATCTGGAATTGCACTCGTAGGCCAAGGCCAAGGCTTCTGAGTAGTAAGGATTTATACAGTAGTGCATGCTCTACTTTACGACACGTTAGACGTTAATACTGAACGTACAATTACAAAGAAGACATTATTATGTGATCGGTATAATTACCATTAAGCTTTTCAGGATTTTAATTATAATAGTTCGTAATTATAATAATTTAATTATAATAAATCGTAAGCTTTAAAATTAAAATAAATATATAAAGATAGTTATTAACTTACAATTTAAAAAGTTCTTAATAAGAACTTGCAGAAGCCCGTTGGTGGCTCCAAGTCCCACTCTGAGTCCCACTTCTTCGAATGTCTTGAATTACTTTATTAATATCATGAGATGCTTTATTATCAAACAATACGTTATCAATCTTGTATGTTGAGTTTTAACTCAGTCTATATACATATCTGCGTTTATTGTGGGTTTTTTCTCCACTACCGCTCTATATATATCTGCTCTGTGGTATCTATTGTGCTCGTCTCTGAACACATATCCGCTTTATTGATAACAAGAATATCCCCAAAATTGGTAGTTATTGAAGACATCTTTGTCCCTCGCTGACATTTCTTCTTCTGTCCATTCTTGGCAGTTTCTTTTGGTTGTTTTCGTCCAGGAAAACACACGACTCATCTTTTCGAAACGGTGACGAGAGAACGTGCATTTCTCTTCTATTTCTGCCCGGGGGGCAATACTAGTACATCTTACCTTAATAAGGATAATTAAATTATAAATAATAATAATAAAGACTTTGTGATATACAATTGTTGCAGTTGTTTCTCTTATTTTTCTTCCCTTGCTCTGCAAGCCCTGATTCTTGTATAAACATTGTGTTTAGTATTTTGTATATTGTATTAATTGTGGTAAATTGTGGTTCAAATTTCGGTAGTAGTAATTATAGGTGTTTGCTGAATTACTGTATTATACACTCTGTTGCCAGCTCTTGTGTGTCCCATCTCTTGCCCTGCAAGCCCTGTTTCTTGTCTATACAACAAATTATAATTGTGCAATAAACATTTATTGTAGCGTAGGATTGTTTGAATTTCTATTTGCTAATTCATATAATATTCACTTTATGATTGTTTCGCCCATTTTTCTTCCGTTGCATTGCATGCCCTGTCTCTTGTTTATACAATCTTCCACTCTATATTGGGTAGATTGAGTAATTATTATGGATTTTATATTGAAGTTAGCCCTGCACTGATTTCTGTATTAATAATAAACATATTTGATGGACTACGGTATATACAGTTGTTGTAAGATTTCTCTTGTTTTCCTTCTCTTGCTCTGCAAGCCCTGTTTCTTGTTTAATAATTAATACAGCATATAATTATCGTGTTTCGCATTGTAAAATGTAATAAACATTGGTAATAGAGTAAGATTATTGGAAATTCTTTTTGCTCGGTTTATAATATTTAATTGTATAATTTGTAATGGTTTCTCCCGCTTTTCTTCCTTGCACAACAAGCCCTGTCTCTTATAAATACAACTCCTGTAAATACAACCTTGAAAGATTTGTAGATACACATAGTTTCTACACCTTTATCCACTGGTCCCTAGGGTCAGCTGATCCCGGGCCAGAGGAAAACTACCGAATGCCGAGGTTTGACGCCTAGGCAGTAAAGATCTCTTATCAAGACCCTTTATAATACAAAAAATACGATATAAATGATGACTGCATTATAATTTTATAATAAGCAATTCTGACAGGTTCGGAGGCCTCAGACCTCTGTCGTTAAGCCTCTGACTTGCCCCCGACTGTCGTCGGCATCAGCGCATTTGAAAATGTCTGATCGATATCAGAGTTCTTTTGATGTTTAAAAAAATGCTGAGTTGTCAGTGGAACTCGAATTTGAAAATTAGTTGACTCGAAACAGTGTGAGCATGTTTGACTTTGTCGATTGTCTTGCGTGGTTAAACTAGATGCAACGTTCAACGTATGATTAGAAGGTGGCACAGGAGAACTTATATATTGTTATCAAAATATGGCATCGGCAAAAGCTGCCGATGAAAATAAAGCCAAAGCAGCCTGCATAAATAGTGAGATAATGTCAGATTGTAAAATTTTACCAATTGAGTGTGCAGACAAAACGGTTGTGCTACAGACAGGTGTTTTAATCCATACCATGTTCGTTGAAACTGAGACACGGAGTAGTTATTATCCGTGGTAAAAATTTTAGACAATCGAATTTCGATACGGTTTTGTATTAAATCCAGATAATACGGAGTACACAGTTGAACTTGAAATTAACCTAAAATGCCGAACGTAAATTTTCCGCTTAAATCAGAAACGCACAAAACTTGATACGGCGCAGACTAGAAAACCCTAACAAAACTATAGCAGACACATCTGCCAGTGCAGACAGCGAATAAACAATTTTAGTAGATATAATATTGGTCAGATTACCCGTTTAGTGGTAGCTGTACCTAAGAGAAAAATTTCAAAATCAAGATTAATTTTAGATTTAAATATGTACAGGTTCGAGGGTTAGCAAGTTGTGGCAATCAGAAGCCGTAAAACAGCAAAGTGATTGCCACACGTGTTTTGTGCCGGCCATCCCTGGGCCTGCAGTTAGATTTCTATCGATGCATCAGTATCGATAGGAAACTAACGGCCAGCAGTACTGATAGTATCATGCTCTGATTTTTTATTGTTGAAATATGTGAAATTCTAATAACGCAAATTTCGTTTAACACTAAATAGCTTTAATCGCGAATGCAGTTATGATCAAAAGAAAACTAAGAAAATTAGAAAAAAAGATTTTATATAAGTATATACAAAAATAATAAAAAAATGTTAGCTAGACTGATATTATGTTAACTTACTCTCAGAATTAGTTCTTTGATTTAAATGATTGTTAATGTTTTGAGGAGGGAGAAGAATGATGGACAATTCATGGACAAAAAGAGACTGAGAGTAGAATTTTAGATGAGTTTTATTATTGTTGATATATTAATGTTGATATATTAATAGTTGATATATTTTTAAAATGGTTGACTGTACACATTTACCAATTTCCAGATTGTCAATAATAAAAGAAAGAAAAGTTCGAAAAGGAAGTACAGCCAATCATTTATGTTTACTAGAAATTTGAATTTAAAAATTATCTTTAAGTAAAAGCTCTAGAGATATGTTTTCATTAATGAAAAATGTTGTATTAAGACTAAAATTTTGTTGCATTGTAAAATACATGTTGTAAAGATTCAGTTAATAATTTTATTCCTCTAAACACGAAACATCTAAAAAAGTATTAAATAGAATAAAATTATTATTAAAAAAAAGGAGGTATGTTAGGTTATAGGATTAGATGATAGTGACATGGGAACAGGTGGTTCATCAATTGTGACCGGTCAATCGTGACCTGTCAACATTGCCGTTCTAAAATATGGGTGCAGAATATTCGCGAATTTTACGATTGGTCCAACAATAGGTGGGGCAGCCGTCCATTGGTTGTAAGTCATGTGACCTAGGTCACATGACCATAGCAGGTGGACTAAGCCTCATTTAACCCCGGTCAGCTCGTGCACTAACTCACTAACATTAGTGTGACGTTAAAATAGTTATTAAGACCTGCAAGGTAGGTAATATAAATACAGATGTTTTGTGTTGTAAAAGTTAGTTTTAGTTTTATTTTAAACCACTTCTCCTAAACTGTTGTTTCCGTTGTTCCCAAAACAATACAAGAGAAGAACCCCGTTAACAATAATGCATAGCCGGTAGTACAAGGTTAATTCATTATTTCATGTTAATTATTTTTTATTAGAATCATAAAACAATTATTTAAGGCATTACAGAATCTAACCATCCATTTTCCAGGTCTTCATAAGTGCAGCAATGATCTCACTTCGTTTCCCAAATCTGATTGCCCAACACTTGTCAGCCACCGAGCTCTTGATGGAGTCCCAGAAACTGGCTGGAACTTTCGATTTGGACAAAGTCCTGGTCCAAGCTCGCCGGATTTACTTGGAACTTATAGGCCTACCAGAGGTACTGTTTTCTGTTCTGTCAAAAAATCGTTTTGTAATTGCTCAATGTTCATTCGTCCGTTTGAAAGTATTTGCTTATACAGTTATAGAATAGAGCGGTTTTTGTGGCCGATATATCGAGAACCGCGCACGTTCTACTACTTCTACGTAAAAAACGGAATAATAAGACAACTTCATGCAGGTACCATGCTCACTGATGCCTCTGGTCGGTGGAGAAGGGGACTACTGGGACGGGTACAGGAACCCTAACTTCAGCTGTTTGGATTGCGATAAGAAGGGTTTCTGTGAAATGAAACGGGATTATCACCGCGTTTTATAGTCTCTTCAATATGTCTCCGTTTTATGAATCAAGGAGTGGGACTGGGACTGGGTCCAATATATTAGGGTGTTTGATATGTTAGGTCCCCCTGACAAGATGACATGACAAAGTCTGACAATTAGCTTATTAGCAGGGTGGGTTTACTATATTATGTTATTTCTTCTATTGGAGGTTCTGTCATTTTTACATTTGTGAAAATTTCCACGTGAGGAATAGCGGTTTCTGGAAATTTTGTGGTTTTGTCAACTTTGTATAGACTTAGGTGGATCAGAATGGTGGGTCTTCTTCGTGAACCGTTTTAAAACTTTTCAACAGTGTTGTTAGTGGATAAACGATAATGAGTTTAGAATCTGAGAGGAAGTTAATAATAGCTTTTTAAAGGCACTTATTTAAAAGATGCATGCTTGCTTGAAATTATCCTTCTGAAAGATTTAAGACTGTTATGGATTATAATAACGATATTTGGTAATTTCACAATTATTACACTGTTAGTAAAATAGGTAAATAGGATAATAAGAAGGAAGAATCTTCGTTCTTTATCAGTTCCTGCAGTTCACGGAGAAGATGTTGCTCTAACTTGCAGTAGCGCGCGAAGGGAAGATGCATCACGTGGAAAATATAACTTTAAGGCACGAAGTGTAAGGTTTCTGCATGGATTATTAGCATGGCATGGATATTTTAGTGAGTTATTTGATCATAAGATCGGAGAAATATAGAAAATTCATTAATATGGTGATGTCAATTAAACCTCGCTAAACGTTGTCATTGATTTTAAAATGTTTGCTAAATCTACTAATATATGCAAAAAATTCCAATATTTATACTTTCAAATCACAGATTTTATATATTGTACGTGTTGTGTGTATAATTTACGCTACGGTTTTAACCAATTTTTATTTAGCATTTATTTGTTGCATGTGTAATGTATGGACGGCATTTTTTGTTGCTTCTGTGGGTATTATGAATTTATTTGGTATTATTTTAACCATTTATACGCTTGGAATATATTGAAATAAGTCACTGGTAATTGGTAAATGATATTTAAATTCGTTGACTTAATATTCGGTGTCTTCATTTTCCGTCAATTAAATCAAGTTATTAAAAAGGTCTATCTGAAAATTGGGTCAAATTACTCATAATATTACGCAATTTGCGCACACAGTTTCGGGGTTTCAATATTTTTGATCTGTCGAGGAGAAGTTTATAAAGATGATCCCGATATCTCTACGTGATTGCGTAACATTATAATATGAAGTTGAACAACTTCATCTAAAATACTTATCTGCTATAAGTATTAAGTAATATTACTATAATATATAGTATTACTATATATATTATTATATATATTATTTAGATTCTGGATTCTGGTGGGAAGGCGAGGCATATGTTTTTGAAAAATAACAGCGTTAAACCAACCAGCTTCGACCAATCAAACCCCAGAATCAGAGTCACATGTCAAAAACATATGCCCACCAGAATCCACATCCACAAGTATCCTATTATTTAGTTGTCCAAGATGATACATACTATGTATAAAATACAACCTATAAAACATTTGGAATTCTATCTACAAATCACTGCACACTCTCTGAGCAACTAGTGTGATTGGTATCTGACTCACTGGCTGTCCTTCCGTAATTATTACTCGTCAGCACAAGTCTATCATTACTGTCCTCACCCCCGGGTGCTATAAAATTGTCCCTCAGGGGCACATGTTCAGGCTTGTTGAGGAGGTCCCCGGAGGTCCAGTCCCCCCCTCTACTTGGAGTAGCAGGTTTAACTAGTGGCCGGATAGTGGTGTTGAGGGAATTAGTAGAGTTTCCAGACGTCCTGCTGGCGAATTTGAACCGTGCGAAAGAGACTGGCTGTTTGGGCACTCTGCACAGGAATATCTCCGCAAAACGCTTTCTGAGTTAGTTTTAGGTTAGGTTGAGCTTTATTCTAATTCTGGGTTCATTCACATATTACTTAATCTAGCTAAATAGGGAAGGTGGTGGTTTGGAAATGATACGCTAATATAATTTCTGTTCAATAGCTATGAATAAAGTGATTGCAAACATGAACAGTGAACTGAATTAGGGGTCTGAAATGGCCAAAATCCAGCTTACGCAATATGTGAACGATCCTGAATTTATTCTTAAAGGCACTTGAAATTTGAGGTCCTTATCTAATTTAGTTTGTAATAATTGTATAAAAATATAAAGGACCATAAATACTACTGTCAGTGCGAGGCGTTTGCTTCCTGAATCTTGGTAATATAGGGCCGATTCGAGGGGGCATGTTTCATACATATATTCGATTTTTAACAGAGTCTGCCAGGATACCTAGAAGTTCTCATAATCATAGTTTGATCATTAGAGTTAGACCACCTCCGATAGCACTGATAGAACATTGACTAAATCCCAAACATTGATTGCTTCTCAAGTTCATGTCAAAGATGTCAAAGTTCATGTCTAAAGTTCGCGTCAAAGTCGTGTCAAAGTTCATGTCCAATCTAAGTACTTTCAAAAGTGCATGTCAAATGTCTCCCACAGCTAGTTGCATACCTGGTCAGCTAGTTGCATACCTGGTCTCCTTATTGGCGTAGATATAGATGTAAGGATTAAGAGCTGAGTTGAGGAAGATACACAACGCCTGAGTGATTTGTAAGTTTTAGAGGTTAACTATATTTAGAGAGCGTAACACTGTAATAGAAGAATGCTACTTGGGTTCATCTCTATAGTTTTTATGTGAGATCGACTTTTATATTATTTAACTGTTGAAGTTAACTTTACCATAACTTCCCGAAATATGAAAACAATGTACAAAAAATAAGTGTAATTTCTATAAATCTCAATAGCCTTTTTACTCAAAAACAAACTTATATGTAGCATATAGATTATCCATAGTCAATAAATTAAACGGTAAAATTATGCAATACCAGAAGCAGAAGTATGTTAAGTATTTGAGCAGAAGTATGTAAAATATCCGAGCAAGCTAGAAGTATGTAAAGTATTAAAGTATTAAGAACCTGAAGTATGTGAAGGCCGTCATGGTAAGGTTTCTGTGTGATGATCCCGTACATAGTTAGGATGATTTGGGGGGCCCAGCACAGGACGAATATACCAACTACCAGCGTCACCGTTGTAAACGCCTAGAGTATAAAGTGATGTTTAAGAAACTCCGTCCTGGACCTGCTTAAATGTATATTTTTTTTTATCGTATTTTATCGTATTCCAATTTCTGATCGACTTTCATGATATTCTCTAATCATGACCTTTTTATAAATTTTTGAATCTCTTTGACTGAGTATTATGATTGATTTTATCTGACTAATTTATTTCTTTTTTGTAGGCTCTAGCGATGTAATAAACGAAGTTTCCAAGCCAAATTTGTGTGTTTCCCTTCGTGTCCAAAATCAATCATAAATGTATATCTATAATCTGATAATCACCTTTGACATGTAGATTGCAGATGGGCAATATTACATAACAAAATGTGGTACGACAGGTTGTTGCTTCAGAAATCAGAAACTTTCAAAGTTCAAACAATGTTTTGTTAATCGTCAGCTATAACACGCAGACAATTAACTGTTTACTTGAGGTGTATTGACCTTCAGTTCGCCCCTTATCGTTCTGGAGATTCTCCTGCTCGAATTAGTTCTCTTCATACCACGTTTCTGCATCATACCATCGTTCTGGAGCAACCTGGCATGATATCGTGGGGAATGTCTACTTCGGTGCCTCAGCAAACTGAATTTAGAGATATCCAAAAGATTGTTAGTACTTTGATGAAAGCTGTGTTATTATTCGTTTGAAGGAAGATTATAATTTACTGAGGAAACTGCGAGACGCGAGCCAGCTTATGATATTCGTCACCTATTGTTAAAATTCTGAATCTCATACCGAAAAGAAATGGTGCATGCCAGTGAAACATATCCCCTACACATACTGGGCACGCTCAGCCTGTCATTCCGAATCTCTATGTTTATGAACATAATAGCCTGGGGTACCCAGGTAACCCTACACTAAAGAAATAGCCCTACCTGACAGATACCCTGTAGAGAGCGATATTGAGGATACACACGATCACCAGAGGTAGGATTACGAACAGGGATACAGTTAGCATGGAGTAAATGTTAGCTGCTCTGTCTGCATCGTACGAGACAAACCTCACTCTGGTCAGGGGAAATGTGGGTTAGGTTTGGGCGCTTTTTTAGGTACCAAATTAAGCTCCTCATTTGCCAGACGCTTTACAAATTAAGTTTTGCGGTCTTGGAAGTTAAAATCGGTTTTAATAATCGACGGAAACGCTCTTATAGAGTTATAGAATGCGAATATGACAAATCATCGAGATTTTCAATAACAATAATTAATGTTGGTTAAATGGCAAATGTGAGTGTCACAACATTTTCTAAATCTGAAATCAACATTTTTACCTGCAGAAAGCGCGAGTAGGGTTGTACTCGTAGGTGGAAACTCCGACTAAAGGAGGTATCGGCACTACCAGAGAGAATATCCAAACAAATAGCGCCATTATTCGGGCAGGTCTGTGGGAAAAGCTCATATCAGCATCATTACTTCGTCAAATTTGCAGAACTTTTGAAAACTACGGTTTCGTTCAAATGATTTCAAGGCCCACCAGAATTACAGACCACAGTGCAACACTCATAGACCACGTGTATTCTAATGACATCAAGAACACGGCAAGTTGTCAGGTGCTTACTCTACACGTATCAGACCACCTAGCCACCCTTACTACGCTTCTACTTGGGGACAGAGAGGGGCCATGCGGGAGGGTTACAAGTAAAAAACCAAGTATCAAACAGGCACGGAGATTTGGCGAAGCTAACAATGCTAAATTTCAAAGTTTGATCGAAAGTGAGGACTGGAGTGAAGTGAGTTTACACGAAAATTGTGAAGTACAGTACGAAAAATTTTGTGAGATTTACACCAAACATTATGTTGAGGCATACCCCTTGAACAAATCCAGGCCGCGGCGTAAAAATGAACGAAGAGATCCAAAACCTTGGATTCTTCCCTGGCTAGAGGATGCGTGTGCGCGAAGGCATAAGCTCCACCACCTAAAAACCACAACTTCAACCAAGGCCAATGATGAAGCGTATGAAAAAATTGATAAATTCTGCAACAAGCACATTGACTTAGCTAAAGCAAAATATTATAAGAAATTTTTTGACGAGCATTGTGAGAACTCTAAAAAGCAATGGCAAATGATTAACACGCTGTTGAACAGGAAGTTGAAAGAAAAAAATTCTATAAAACTGAAAGGCGACGACGGATCTATTATCAGCAATGGCACCGATGTTGCAGCAAAATTTAACAACTACTTCTCAAATATAGCTTCAAACATTAAAGCACAGATCAGTGCTAGACAAACTTTTGATCCTGGGGGTTTTAGTAGATATCTTAGGAACCCAACATCGAATTCGATGTATCTTAGGCCGGTAACACCAACTGAGGTGAGTGAGGTGATTCTAAAATTTAAGAATAAGTCAACACTGGATACCAAAATTGGGCCGATGAAAGTCGCAAACCATGATAGCAAGTTCACCGGTGTGATTTCTACTATCATAAACTCATCATTTACACAGGGCATATTTCCAACTGCTCTTAAAACTGCACGCGTAATCCCTATCCACAAGGGAGGTAGTAAGACAGATGTCACTAACTATAGACCCATATCTCTTCTTAGCTCATTCTCAAAAATTTACGAAAAGTTAATGCACACTAGAGTCCTTGAATTTCTTGATAAAAACGGCTCTCTGTTCGAAAGCCAATACGGCTTTAGACCGGGGATGTCATGCGAGCATGCTCTTCTTAATGCACAGAACTCTATCCTTCATTACCTTGGCAGGAAACAAATTGCGGTGCTCCTACTGTTAGACTACTCCAAAGCTTTCGACCTACTTGAACACAAAATTCTGCTTAAAAAACTGGAACACTACGGAATTAGAGGTATAGCACTAAGCTGGTTCGACTCCTATCTTCACGATCGTCATCAGTTCGTCACAGTCAACGGGGTTGATTCCAGTCCCAAGACGATCAATTATGGTATTCCTCAAGGCTCTATTCTGGGCCCCCTACTCTTCGTCATCTATATAAACGACCTCCCCGGAATCTCAGACCTGGCCAAGTTCATACTTTACGCCGATGATGCAAATATTATAGTCACGGGCCATAACGAGGAAGAAATTCAAAGTAAGCTCTCCATGATTGCAACACTTCTAGTGAATTGGGTAAGTAGCAACGGGCTTTCTTTAAACCTGAAGAAGACCCACTATATGGTCTTCAGTAACCGTAAAGTAGATTATTCCAAAATAAGTCTCAACATATCTGGAACAAACATTGAACGGGTTACTGAGGCACGGTTTCTGGGTGTTATAATTGATGAGAAACTAACATGGTGTAAACATATCACAGCGGTAAGATTAAAAATGAGTAGGTACATAGGCATCATGTTCAAATTAAAACGACATCTGCCCCTAAAAGTGCGACTACAACTCTACCATAGTTTTATTGAGGCACATGTTAACTACTGCTCGTTAGCCTGGGGATTCGCGGCAAAATGTCACATTGAGACATTATTCCGTAGACAAAAGCAAGGAATGCGGATGGTTATGCCAGGATATGTAAATTACTTTTACAAAGACGGCAAATTGCCAGCTCACACCAGAGAAGCATTCTGCAAATTTGAGATTTTGACAATACACGGCATCATCGTAAAGAATGCGCTTACATTAATGCACCGCATGAAGCACTTTCCTAACACAGTACCTGTATCAATTAGAAATTTGTTTCCAGATAACATACCCACGCATGGTTCAAATCATGAGAACAGTAGCGAATGGCTAGATACGTACAATAACCGATGTTTCAAAGCATCCATATTTTTTAAAGGACCTTTACTAGCTCTAACAGACACCAACAAGAACATCACGTCCCTACCTAGCTTATTTTCAATAAATATTTACAAATCGAACGCAAAACGCGTGCTTCTTGAGCAACAGTCAAACTCAACACTAGCTAACTCAGAGGACAGCTGGCCAGCATTTCTGCTACACAACGTACCTGGTTTGAGGAAGTCCAATAGATGAGGGATGATTGAGTAATACAGCGACCAATAATCGCTAAATCATGACATCATATCATAACATAACATAACATAGGACGACAGCAAACACACAATAAACGAGCAGTAATAAACAACGTTCGCTTAATGGACTGACATATTTCAGCATATTTTTCACTGCCAAAGCGCTGATAACAGCAAGCCTTACCCCACTCCGCGCGGCTTTTTAATGCACTAAATCTTAAAGATAATTCTCGCGATAAAATTTTCATCGTCACGCTTGAAAATTTCTAGAAATTAGAATAGCCGTATATTATAACAAACTATAGCAAGCAGAATTAAAAGATAAAAGGTTCTGGGACTTGAGTGGTACAAATAAAATGAAAGGCATGCTAATCATGCTCACGTACTGTAATGTGTCGAGAGTTTTTTTAATTTTTACTATTTGACAAAATAATTGATCTTTTTAGTGTGAGTGTGATTTCAACTTTGAGTTTGAAAATATTTTGAAACGACTTTCGATATTATTGATTATTATATTTAATAAACTGTCTCAAAGCCCTTAGAGGTGGCTCTATACGGGTCTTTACAACAAACAACAGAATATTATATGTAGCTACAGAAGCTCAGTAAGAAACCACTATTGTAAACATCTGAAAAGATAGCCACAATCTTGTTGGGGCACCGGCCCGAAGTACCAGCCAATGTTTACTCAAAAATATATACGGGTATATGGCCCCCAGAATATAGGTGGCCCCCAAAATATAGGTCATGTTAGTGGATACAGTTCTAACCAAGATAAGCGATACTAATGGGATCTGTTACTGCTAGGTTGGAGTAAAACATGTAACTAATGTTTCTGGATAAAAATTTTGGACCTACATGAGGTATTTTGGTATATTTGGTCATGACAGCGAAAAATTTAAACGATGTTGTCATTTTCTAGAGGGGTAAATATGGCGAAAAATTGTCATGACAAAAATCTGTCCAACACATGCCATTAAGACTACTGGTATGAGTATAAGTATTATTTTAAGCTATCTTTTCATCGAGACATCTGCAAACTGACAATTTGGAAAAAAGTTATGGCCATCACAATTTTACGGGCCCCCAGAATATAGGTCCATACGACCCCCAGAATATAGGTTGGTCAAAAACCCTGAACATGCCCAAAACCATGCTGTGGGATGCTCTACTTGTAGCTACTAGTCTCCTGAACCCACATATCAAGTTTTATCAAAATTGGATAAAAATTGGCCGAGTTATGGGATAAAAACAAAAACCATATGCCCATATTTGGGCATACGCACCTAATTTGATCGATTTTGGTCCATAAATTGGTCAAATATCAATATTTTTGAATGAAACCAACTTTATATGGAAGGTAAGCATATATTACACATTCTCTATGATTATCAGCTCAATATCTACCTAACTGTGGATTCTGTGTTCAAATAATCGCAAAAAATGAACAAAATCGCCCATATCTCAAACTGACTTAGCTCAAAACAATAGAACTCAATAGGTTTTCAATATTTTCACATGAAATTTTCAGAATCAACGTAGAATTATCTCATGACCCTAAGTTTTGGGACAGAATTTTGAGTTAGGCCTTTAAAAAAATTTGGCGGCCAAAAATGTCTGATTTACAGTCATTGAGGTGCACATTGTATTGATACAGATAAAAACAGCCCCCTCAATCATATCTAGGGACACTCCTTCAATCTTATTTAAGTATTTAGTTAAGATCCCTACTAAATGAGTGCATGAATGCTTTTTAACTAGTAAAATTAAAGATTTTACTCATTACGGGTATATGGCCCCCAGAATATAGGTTTAAAAAAAAAAATAGCGACCAAGATTCTGCATTTTCTCTGTCACCCTGAGCATTAAGGAATGTGGGGTAGTGATGAGAAACAGTTAAAGAACATATGCTGAAGAGATGGCATCATCAAAATGTATGAAGGTGGAGTATTTGAGGACGATTTTTGCATACCTATATTCTGGGGGCCGTAGTTTTTGATTTTTTGCTATTAAGTATACTCTAAACCATTTCAATTTAGTATCTGGAGCCATTGGCATCATCAATACAGTCTCAGCAACATATTCTGACTGCATATAACTGTCTGTGACAATTTTAGAACAACTTAGGAACAGATGTTTGGACCTATATTCTGGGGGCCCTGTTAAAAAATGGTATTTTTACAGGTGAAAAAAAAAGTACACTTAAAAACCTAATAATTATTTTCAACTACCCAAGAAACATTTAAAGGGTTATTATGTACATATTTACAGCCCTAAACATGCTTAGAAGTAGTTTTAACACCTGTTTCTAAGTGCTCAAAAAACGACCTATATTCTGGGGGCCATATACCCGTATAGTAAGTATTACTATTATTTATAGATTGAAAGTCAAAAATCGCACAAGATTAGATAATGTTGAAACTATTAAAATGGAGCTTATTTAACAAGCAAAGTTTAAAGTTGCCTTTAGGATTGTAATGTTGAACTGACCCTGTTTTAATGATCCTCCTGAGGGGTGAAAGGACTACAGTAGCCCGGTGGAAGGAGATAAGCAGGATAGTGAGAATGGAGGCTGTAGCCATCCACGTGAAGATAAAACCCTGAGGAGATGTTGTTACCAGAGAGCTAGAGGGTGTTGTTACTAGAGGGTGTTACTAGAGGGTGTTACTAGAAGGTGTTACTAGAGGGTATTACTAGAGGGTATTACTAGAGGGTATTACTATAGGGTGTTGCTAGAAGGTGTTGCTAGAAGATGTTGCTAGAGGATGTTACTAGAGGGTGTTACTAGAGGGCGTTACTAGAAGGTGTTGCTAGAAGGTGTTGCTAGAATATGTTACTAGAGGATGATACTAGATCGAGGGTGTTACTAGAGGGCGTTACTAGAAGGTGTAACTAGGTGTTACTAGAGTGTGTTACTAAAGGGTGTCAATAGAGGGTGTTACTAGAAGATGTTGCTAGAGGGTGTTACTAGAGGGTGTTACTAGAGGGTGTTACTAGAGGGTGTTACTAGAGGGTGTTACTAGAAGATGTTGCTAGAGGGTGTTACTAGAGGGTGTTACTAGAGGGTGTTACTAGAGGGTGTTACTAGAGGGTGTTACTAGAAGATGTTACTAGAGGATGTTACTAGAGGGTGTTACTAGAGGGTGTTACTAGAGGATGTTGCTAGAAGATGTTGCTAGAGGATGTTACTAGAGGGTGTTACTAGAGGGCGTTACTAGAAGGTGTTGGTAGAAGGTGTTGCTAGAATATGTTACTAGAGGATGATACTATATCGAGGGTGTTACTAGAGGGCGTTACTAGAAGGTGTAACTAGGTGTTACTAGAGTGTGTTACTAAAGGGTGTCAATAGAGGGTGTTACTAGAAGATGTTGCTAGAGGGTGTTACTAGAGGGTGTTACTAGAGGGTGTTACTAGAGGGTGTTACTAGAGGGTGTTACTAGAGGGTGTTACTAGAAGATGTTACTAGAGGATGTTACTAGAGGGTGTTACTAGAGGGTGTTACTAGAGGGTGTTGCTAGAATATGTTACTAGAGGATGATACTAGATCGAGGGTGTTACTAGAGGGCGTTACTAGAAGGTGTTACTAGGTGTTACTAGAGTGTGTTACTAAAGGGTGTCAACAGAGGGTGTCAACAGAGGGTGTTACTAGAGGGTGTTACTAGAGGGTGTTACTAGAGGGTGTTACTAGAGGGTGTTACTAGAGGGTGTTACTAGATGGTATTGCTAGAGGGTGTTACTAGGTGTTACTAGAGTGTGTTACTAGAGGGTGTCAATAGAGGGTGTTACTAGAAGATGTTGCTAGAGGGTGTTACTAGAGGGTGTTACTAGAGGGTGTCGTTATTACAGGGTACACTGAAAAAACACACACTCAGACAGGTTAGATTATGCTCAGATTAATTGAGGTCTAGGTGTAATGTGCTCAGATTAAATTGGCGTCTGAGCGAGATCACATGCTACATGTTTTTATACAGACATAAACTTGAAGTAAGCAGTCTTAACGTTCAAGGCCACAATTTTCTGATCGATCAGGTCCTATACGCCAATTTCATCTCACCAGGCTAGAAAATTAATAATATGTGTATTAGTATCATGGACACAATGTTTGCGAATGTGATTTTGTTTGAACATTACCTCCGGTTACCTACTGCATATAAATATAATAATGAGATCTTAACAATGATATAAAGAGAACCTAATGTGAGCTAAATATTACTTAAATACAATAACCTAATAATAATATAACCTTAATAACGATAACGATAACTCATTATAAATTATAATGTTCACACCAACTTATCCCCTCCAAAACTCACATTTATAGTGCACATAGTAGTGCCAAATACCCACTGTCCAGCTAGGAGACTAGCAATAGAAAGTGGCATGACTCCCACAGCCACTGCTAAGTTTGCGAGGGTGAGGGAGAGGAGGAATATATAGGTAACCTGCTCGAGTTGTTGCGAGATTAAAGTGTATTTCTGAAATGGAAACTAACTCGTCAGTTTTAACAGAGATTAATGTCGGTGTTATGATTACATGACACAAGATCTACACGAGATTTGTTAGCATAGGTACATGATCAGAATCAGACATATAAGCTATAACAACTTTAGTGTTATTAAGTCCTGACTCCAAACGTTACCTTGTATATCTTGAATGTAGCTTTCCACTTGAAGTAGATGACAATGATAGTAGAGTTTCCCACCAGTGCCAGGACCAGCAGTGCAGAATAAGCTATTGCAAGACCTAGTTTGTCTCCCAAGTTCCTTATATTTTCAGACATATTTTCTTTCAAACTGAGGTGGAATCAAACAGGAATTAAACAGGAATTGAAATAGAGATTACTAGAAAGAACACAAACGGACACGTCTAAATTAGTCGACATAACTGGGATAAATACAAATTAAATGTTTTCGAATATCAGGTAAAATATTCAAAATGCAACAAAGTTAACTTGATTACAACTCTATAAAATAAAAAACTAGGCCGAGCATTATTAGTTCAATGGTAAATTGACTTAAAACTGTAGAGGTGATGAAACTTAAGTTTAAAATATTGGCCAAATAATATGGGGTTTTTTTAATAACAAGGGCTGACGTTAAACCGAATTTAGAAATAAAAACTGATTACATCTTTATATTGTTCACATTATAACATACACCTGTACATTTTCAATTTCTGTCGAAAACAGCTTAATCCACGAGTGTTTATAAGCATTGCACCACCGGCGAGAGGTATGAAGAAAATGCTTTAATACATCAAGGGACGGAAAGATGGACGGAAAGAGGGACAGAAAGAGGGACGGAAAGAGGGACGTGCTCCTATTTGAGTCCTTTATCCTTAATGTGTCACACGAATTTGCGACTTTGGCTGCCTAATCATTATAATTCATATCACATTTACTGGTGACTGGAGGTATCCAGACTCAAAGCCATTGCTCGGCTCCTTCTTGTTATGACAATTATATTCTGGTCACTGATGCCTCGTCTAGACCCACTGCCATTGCTCGGTGACTAGGCTCCTTCTTGAGCTCCCGCATTCTTGTTATGACAATGCTCTGGTGCCTTGTCACATGCCACACACTGATAATTTGGATCTACTCGCAAAAGCATGATCTCCATTCAAATACTAATAGAGCGGCCTGGGTTAGGAAGAGACTAGAAAGTAAGAAAGAAATTTAGCTCTAGCTGCATTACTATCCTCGCTCCTAGTCCTTTGGTACAAGTATTTGTTGGTAAATTGTCAAATAATATATGGAAACATTTCACAGATTTAACCTGAAAACAATTATAAAGCAAAACAATAAATCAGACTAAAAAGTCTGTTATCGGTTCTATAAAAGTTGTCTCACCGTTTAGTTTAACAAATGACGATATATCCGAATGAACTAAAATCATCGGTGGATGATGATGAACAACCTCTTAAAGCTTTAAAGGTAGAGATTAAGTGCGACAAAATTAAGACGAAAACAGCATGACAGCTTCAATCGGAGGTTTTTTAACTCCATTGATTAGAACTCTCCAAATTTATTATGCAATAAGAATTTGGATTCTGGCTGCATTAGTGCATTGCAAGTATTTTTTAAATTGATGTGGTGATTACGACCAATAACACCGAGCATATGAAACATCGGTTTTTCCACAATGCATATCGTACAAATCTGCGAAATAAATTGTCACAAGCAGGGCAATGTAGGTGTCTGTTTGATGGTAGAAACTATTTTACCTGAAGAATGAGCAACTCGGTAAGGTTTATAAAATTTGGAGAGGAACGAGTAAAAGAAACCATACCATTAGTCATGGTCAAGCGATTAGTCGAGTGAACCAAAACACGCGGCGGTGAAACCATAATGACATTACATAAAATACATAAATCTTTAAAAAATTATCACGAAACTAATTTATAGAATTCATACGATACCATGTTATCGCCTCATTGTAAATATTTTGGTCTTGTGGTAAATGTAATTGTAACACATTGCTGTAGCTGTAACATTTGTTTGAATTTTGGAATAAAAAATAAAAAAGGGAGTAAACTTACGTTATGCAAATCAATTATTCAGCTTTATCAAAAATCTGCCTACGAAATTTTACCTACAATATTTGACACACTTATTGAAAACAAGGCTGTGTCATCGGTGGCCTGCGAAATGATCTAAGAAGAAAATGACAAAAATAGCAGAAAAGTGCCGAACAGAAAGCATCAAAAGACGTGTGATTAGCATAGGAAATAAATCGGTCATCAAAAGCAGCTGTTCTACTGGCTTTTATAGACCTGTTTTTATGGGCAGTTTATCAAATTTCAATCTATTGAAACTTACATTTTTCCGTTTAAGTGGTTTGCTAGCAGGAAATCATGAACAATTCATTGACCACAGGCTAGCTATACATCACATCTCCGCAAGCAATTTTCACGCGCTACACAGGTTTGAAAAACAAGTGATTCACCAGATAAAGATTACATTACTCGTATTTAAAGAAACAACTCTTTGAAGTGGCATAAATTGACTTATTTAAAGCAACGTTTTGACTAATATTTAATATAACATGTTGCAATATTTATAGGCGGAGAAATTACAAAAAATACTACAATCAAATAAACACAAAAAACGTACGTAAGTCAAAGCACTTAAATAAGACCAAAAATAGCACTTAAATAAGGCCCAAGGTTCTATAAGTATAATTGAAAATGTCTAGACGCGTACTACTAATTAAGTTCCAAAATAACTTGCAAACAGCTACAATATTATGAGTAATGTCTGTGTGTGCTTATAAATCATAATGCATGAAAACAAGACGAGACTTGTATCTCAACAAGCAGTAGGACAATTTAGATTATCTTTTTTATAAAATCAGTCTGAAAACTGTGGTTCGGTCAGCTTAATTGTACTGAATGAAAACCACGGTTGTACTGAAAAGAAACCACGGCGGTTATAAACTCTGTGCCTTCCAACTGGCAGGAGCATATCTTCTGTTTTTGTATGTGAGGCCTCGTGTAAACATTGAAACCACCATGGTAGTCATACTTAACCAGAGCAGTCCTCATTTCAGCATGTTTGGCTCTGACAGATGGCTCTAACACATGACAGATGGCTCTCAGCGGTTTCTTCCAAACTTTATGAAAGGGCTCTAAACAAAGATTGTGGCTTCTCACATGTATGATAATATGGATCAGAAATACTAAAGTTTGCTCGTATCTGACTCTAACCTGTCCTCAGCGGCAACTAAATAGTACGGTCTGTAACTTGCTACTACTGGAACTAAGATCTGCGACTCTTCCAGCTGATCAGGACACAGGACTGTCTATCGGCAGTGTTGTTAGAACCAATATCTTCCTGTCTGCAGCACAACATAAGACAAAGACAGCAGAGTAAGATCTCTTACATCTCCAAGTTGATACTGCTAGCTACTTTTAATTAATTGATCCATATTATGACTGACTGACTGTCTGCTAACAATTTGTTGCTCTTTGCTAAGCTTCCGTCCTATTCGAGGACAAGAAATATAGTGCTGGTGAAACAGACCAGGTGCTATTGAACCATTGTTTCAAGCGGAGTGTTGTTAGAGGCTGTGGTCCTCTCAATAATGGGTTGGGTAAATCAGTGATGCAAGCCGCCTAATTAATTACAGGGACATAATATCGCACTAGAGCAACAACAAGTATAACAACACAATAGGCTCGTAATGCTCCCAATCCTACTGCTATAATACAGCTCACAATACTGAGAATGTAGTTGTAGAGATTCTCAGTAAATCAAGGAGGGTGCCCGACAAACAGCTAGATAGTGCAGTCTTTATAATTTACAGCACATGGCACGTTTCAATCGTCCCCCCTTTTCTTAAGTTTAAAAATATCTAGACTAAGTGTCCAAAAGTTTGCTTCTTACTGGCAAAAGCGGAAATCGCCAAAAGCACCAAGAGCAAGAAGCGGCAGAGATTTGTAGGACTGGCGAGAGAGGGATAGGGTTTTAAACATTGCAGTGCTAGTACCAGGGGGGTCCCGGCGCTCACTGTACCACGCAGTGAGCAGTTAACACTATATTACGGAAAGTAAGTGTACTTTCAGATGTTTCATGGAAGTATTCTGGATTTCTTATCGGAACTCTTAGATAACAAATGTTAGATAACAAATAACCGCAAATCCGCCAACAATTGCACAGGAAAATACCTGACGGTTTTGTATAAAGACAAGTCCTGGATACTGGAACTGGAAGTAAATTACAACTGCACTGGTACTGCAACCTCTATGATGGTGTAAACGAGGGAACCCTGTTAATCGATATACGATAGAGATACAATACTCGCTCATGTAAAGCTATAACTATAGCTCCTGTAAAGCTATAACCTGGACAAGGTGTTTGGTATACCATTTACCCTCTACTAAGTCTACCCATCTGCTCCCCCAGAAAATATGGTTTGGTATGTCTGTCATTAGTCGTGCTTACCACGTCCAACCATTATTATAAAGTTTTAATAGGAATTTAGGCTTCTGCAAAGTTGGTTATTATTGCTGTACTACCGAAGAATGGAAGGCTGTAAAGAAAAAGAACTATTATATAATTATACAGTTCGATCTGTAGGCACTAAGTTTTAGTGGTCAATAGATTATTCTAGATGCTTTTATAGATAATTGCTTATTCTAGCATGATTGTGGTGACGATGATCGATCTATCTACACAACGTCTTGACTATCTATAGATAGACAGTGTTTGTGCACGCCTAACCTCCCTGCTAGTCCTAAACGGAAAGCATGGACAGCTGATAGCTTTACCACTAAAACATAAGTGATAAGAGCTCCGGCCTCAAATTGTGGTTTTGGGAAATGATCCCGATTCTATATTCTCCCCAAAATGAGGAATAAAAGTAACGGGTGCTCAGACATTTTAGCCGTAAAACTGGTTCAGACCGAATTGTGATGGTATGATGGCTTTTTAAATGTTAAGCATATTAAGCATGTCAAGCGATTTAACCTTGAGTTATTTCAACGCAGAACTAGAATATTCTTTAGCGGATGGTTTACGCTTTACTAGCTGTTAGAGTTTAGCCAATGGCAGCTTGAAGCTTAATAATCATTACTATAAAACGTTAGATGACGTCATATGTCGAATTTCAACTATCAGTAAAGGTCCACTAGTTGGACATAACACGAGTAACTTTCAGCATACTTGGTCATAGGTGGTCAATATCAAAATCTGAAAGATCGTCTAGCCGTTAACAAGGCGTAGAGCGAGAATATATTTTATGATGCCCAATCAGAAAAGTGAATGTAGTATGCGATTGAAAAGAGCAATCATTTGATTAAAAGGACTTCCGAAGAAAGTCTTAAACAATCCATCTTTATTATCCATAAATGGTTCAAACTCTTTCATTAGTTTCTCTTAGTTACTCAATATATTTCAAATGTAAAAATGGGTTTGACCAAGTGGTGGAACAAAATAAGTTTGAGCTTCTAAAATATTGAACTTTGGGTTTCTTTAGGATTAAACTCATTTTAGATTGCCTAACTATTTATACATTTTTCCTTTTATAAAAGGAAAAATTAAGAGTAACTAAGAGTAACGGATTAAAATAATACCATAAATGGTATCATTTTAATCCGTTCGCATTTTTATTTTAGCGTTTACAAATTTCACGAAATATATATATCTCACCTATGCGATTAGAAGTTAGCATACTCGAATAAGAAATATACGATTTGGAATCTAACTTGCCGTATATTAGATGCATATGGCTGTATAACTATAATTTAACGCAGAAAGAATCAAGTTGAGACACCATCATGTCTGAATACAAAATTCAGAACCTTTATGAACAACTGATGACAATGTTCCAGAACATGTCTCATAATGCTCCGCAGATTGTAACACACTCAAAGTTAAATGATATCAGTGTACCTGATCCATACAATATTTGCGTAGCATGAGTTAAAAGCTCCTATATAACTATAGATATGGTTTATTCGATGGTAAAGCAGCTCGATATTGGACAATCACGTCATCTCAGCTCTAGATAGCTAGAAACAAGTTGTAGGAGAGATCGCACGTAACTTAATAAAGTTGTAGGACTAGGAGCGATAAACTTAAAGTTATGCCTGACGTTAGGTCCCGGGTCATGGTGTCATGTGGCTCAGACGCCTAATTAATCTGCAATCTGACAACTCTATAACTACCTGATCAAACACAACAACTCGGTTCCTAGCAGGAGAAATAATACGCATTTTGTCTAGGAATTTTTCTCGGAAAAACAAATAATTTGACCCTCTCGAGGAGGGTGTGAAACAGGGAGTGGCACAGTTTGGAGATCTGGCTGGAAGCCAGCCAAGAGTGGAAACTCGTGTCTTTCAACCGTGCTGGAGCCATTTTAGCGCAAAAATTCATGAAAAGTGGTCTAATTAGGGAAGGTTTGAGATAAGAAAAAGAGGCCGTTAGATGTTAGATAAGATTTATCGTCTCATGTCAATTGTTCTGCCTAAAATATCACGAGCTGTTCTCTTGGTACGGGAATAAGTTTTTGAAATTAAATTTGCATGACTTAACGCGGTAACTTTCAGAAAGACGCTTCTGGTCGTCAAAAATATACAAAAATGGTGGGGAGATAATATTTTTATCGAGAAAAGTGTT